TCCTTGGAAGGGCGGGGCTGGGGATTCCACTGATCTGACTTGACGCGGTAGACAATGCCTCGGGAGAAGGAAGGAGAGAAACATCTTATATTCCGAGGAGTCGGGCTCGGGGTTGTCGCTGCTGCTGCTGCTGCTGCGATCACTCAGAGGCCTGGTCTTCGAGGGAGGCTTTCCCAGTCCTCGTTGGGAAGGGCTGTTGTTTTTGATGTGAGTTCGGGTGCGGTGTTCGGCTGGCTGTGTTTCTCGAACGGGCTTGGATGGGCATTCTTTTCTCCGGGAGTTCAGGTCTGCGTTCTACGGTAATTCTGCTTTTCGGAATATCAGCAGAATTACACTCATTCCGTTGACGGATGGCGATGATTTTTTAGGGGCAAGTTATCTGTTATCTTGGGACCCGTTGATTAGATTTTAATAGATCAGCGTCCGGGTGTGAGCCCTCATGCAAAATAAGTCATCGTTTTGTTTGATTTCTCCATGAAGAAATGTGTATTTTGAAACAGCCTTTTCTTTCATCTGTATCCCCCTCATAATGATGTAAGAATTTGTAGACGTTGGCGGAAGTTTGTACTTCGTGAGTGCTTTCTCGTTTAGTTATTTATTTTCTAAAATAAGAGCAGTCGAGTGGCCGCTGCGCCCGTGTTTGCTTATTGCGAAGGGGTCAAGCCGACTGCCTGACGACGACATCGACTGAGGGACAAAGAGAGCTTAACGTTGCTTTCGTCATCAGGGAAACGATCTACAGAAGAGATTTCACAAAACTAGCGGATGTAAACATTATCATCCGAAATTAATATTCACGGTCACATGCCTCCCTTCGCTCAACCCGCTTCTTTCTTTCAAAATCCTCAAAAGTAATATCTGTCGTTCTACTCACCCCCTCCCCTCCCCTCCCGCCCTCCCCTTACTCCTCCCCCCGAACGCCGCCTCTCGCTTGCCTGCGCTCGGGAGTGAATTTTATCTACGGTTGCAGTTTCCTCTGGCTTGAACGCTTCCCCTGAGAGCCGGACTTCACTCATCAGAAACTAAACATGTCCAGCTGTGTGTCATCTAACCCAGTCCTCGGAGAGAGTGCGACTTGATGAGTCAGTTTTATGTATGTATGAGGGAGGGAGGGGAAAAGAGGGAGGGAGGGGGGAAGAGGGAGGGAGGGGGGAAGAGGGAGGTAGGGGAAAAGAGGGAGGGAGGGGAAAAGAGGGAGGAAGGGGAAAAGAGGGAGGGAGGGGAAAAGAGGGAGGGAGGGGGGAAGAGGGAGGGAGGGGGGAAGAGGAAGGGAGGGGAAAAGAGGGAAGGAGGGAGGGGAAAAGAGGGAGGGAGGGGGAAAGAGGGAGGAGGGGAGAGAGAGACAGAGAGCGAGAGAGAGATAGAGAGCGAGAGAGAGACAGAGGGCGAGGGAGAGACACGGAGGGCGAGAGAGAGACACGGTGGGCGAGAGAGAGACAGAGCGAGAGAGAGACAGAGAGCGAGAGAGAGACAGAGAGCGAGAGAGAGACAAAGAGTGAGAGCGACAGAGAGACAAAGAGTGAGAGCGACAGAGAGTGAAAGAGAGAGAGAGAGAGAGAGAGAGAGAGAGAGAGAGAGAGAGAGAGAGAGAGAGAGAGAGAGAGAGAGAGAGAGAGAGGAAAGAGAAAAAGAGAGAGAGGGAAGAGAAAGAGAAAGAGAGAGGGGGGGGGGGGGGAAGAGAGAGGGATATATATATATGTGTGTGTGTGTGTGTGTGTGTGTGTGTGAGAGAGAGAGAGAGAGAGAGAGAGAGAGAGAGAGAGAGAGAGAGAGAGAGAGAGAGAGAGAGAGAGACAGGGGGCAAGAGAGAGACAGAGAGCGAGAGAGAGACAGAGAGCGAGAGAGAGAGAGAGAGACAGAGAGTGAAAGAGAGAGAGAGAGAAGAGGAAAGAGAGAGAAAGAGAGAGGAAAGAGAAAAAGAGAGAGGAAAGAGGAAAGAGAGAGGAAAGAGGAAAAGAGAGAGGAAAGAGAAAAAGAGAGAAGAAAGAGAAAAAGAGAGAGGAAAGAGAGAGAGAGAGAGAGAGAGAGAGAGAGAGAGAGAGAGAGAGAGACAGACAGACAGACAGACAGACAGACAGACAGACAGAGAGGAAAGAGAAAAAGAAAGAGAGGAAAGAGAGAGAGAGAGAGAGAGAGAGAGAGAGAGAGAGAGAGAGAGAGAGAGAGAGAGAGAGAGAGAGAGAGAGAGAGAGAGAGAGAGAGAGAGAGAGAGAGGGAGAGGGAGAGGGGAGGGGGAGAAAGAGAGAGGGATATATATATATGGATATATATATGTGTGTGTGTGTGTGTGTGTGTGTGTGTGTGTGTGTGTGTGTGTGTGTGTGTATGTGTGTGTGTGTGTGTGTGTGTGTGTGTGTGTGTGTGTGTGTGTGTGTGTGTGTGTGTGTGTGTGTGTGTGTGTGTGTGTGTGTACGAGCGCGTGTGTGTGTGTACGCGCGTGTGAGTATGTATGTATGTATGTATATATGCATACATACATATGCATGCATAGATATATATATATGTATATATGTATATGTATATATATATATATATATATATATATATATATATATATATATATATATATATATATATATATATATATATATATATATATATGTATATATGTATATATGTATATATATGTATATATATGTATATATATATATATATATATATATATATATATATATATAATATATATATATGTATATATATATATATATATATATATATATATATATATATATATATATATATATATATATATTATATATATTTGCGCGTGTCTGTATACCTGTAAGTATAAGATGCATAACATGTATCTTTAAAGAAGTAAGGCTTGTATGTAGCTTCCCTACTAATGTAATAAATAAGTCTACCGGAGAAAAAATATCAGTTTTCTCCGGTCAAATATAAGGCAAGTAATACTTTTCTCTTTGCGTACCATTTGTATTTGTTCTTTTTATACCTATGCCTTGGTGTGTGTGTGTGTGTGTGTGTGTGTGTGTGTGTGTGTGTGTGTATGTATGTATGTATGTATGTATGTATGTGTGTGTGTGTGTGTGTGTGTGTGTGTGAGAGAGAGAGAGAGAGAGAGAGAGAGAGAGAGAGAGAGAGAGAGAGAGAGAGAGAGAGAGAGAGAGAGAGAGAGAGCGTGTGCGTGCGTGCGTGCATAGTGTGTGTGTCCGCTCCACTGTCTAGGTCTGCATTGGTACATGTGTGTTCAGATTTTAAAATGCCCGTCATTGCATAACACGATAAAATCTTCGTCATCAGCAGGCGTGTGACTGTATCCAGGGACGACGAAGAAATGACAATGAGGAAATCGCGCAAGACTGGGTCGGCTAAGAACGTTCATGGTTGCTAAACGGAAGTTGTGAGGTGTTCTGTAATACGAAATAAACATGAATTGACGTATAACTTATTTTTTAGCCGACTTCTTCATTCTTCATTGTTTTATAAATATGTAAATTACTCCGATTGTCATGATTGTTTCAGGAGCGGCCATAAAGTATTTATAGCTCTTGGTTGCTAAACGGAAGTTCAGAGTTGTTTCGTAATACGGGATAAACGTGAGTCGATATAAACTCCTTTTTGACGACTTCGTGTATATCAGCTTCTCACGATTAATCTATTGCCATAATTGTTTTAAAATGTAAATAATATTTTTAATAAGCCTCTGTCTCTCGTTTGGACTAAAGCACAGAAGACTCTTGTTGCCGGCAAGCCTCGCTTGATGAACGAGAACGAGCAAACCAACATAAAGACGGGTCGAGTTTCGTTAGGGTTGTATTACCACCCACGCGCGATGTGTGTTCAGGAAGTCTTTAATTAATGAGTTCTCGATGACATTTAACCTATTCTCACGTTGTTTGCACGCTGTTGCCATGTGCATTGTTAATTCAACGCTCGAGAAAAAGCGGGCTGGTTGATCCTATGTCCTTTCTATTCTTTTAGAGGATGTGTGTAAACGTTTATCACACGAAAGCACACACACACACACACACGCATGACCACACACGCACAGCCACACACACACACACACACACACACACACACACACACACACACACACACACACACACACACACACACACACACACACACACACACACACACACAGCCACACACACACACAGCCACACACACACACAGCCACACACACACACAGCCACACACACACACAGCCACACACACACACACACACACACACACACACACACACACACACACACACACACACACACACACACACACACACACACACACACACACACACACACACACACACACACACAGCCACACACACACACACACACACAGCCACACACACACACACAGCCACACACACACACACAGCCACACACACACACACAGCCACACACACACACACACACAGCCACACACACACACACACAGCCACACACACACACACAGCCACACACACACACACACAGCCACACACACACACACACAGCCACACACACACACACACCACACACACACACACACAACCACACACACACAACCACACACACACACACACACACACACACACACACAACCACACACACACACACACACCACAAACACACACACACACACACACACACACACACACACACACAACACACACACACACACACACACACACACACACACACACACACACACACACACACACAACCACAACCACACACAACCACACACACACACACAACCACACACACACACACACACAACCACACACACACACACACACACAACCACACACACACACACACACAACCACACACACACACACACACAACCACACACACACACACACAACCACACACACACACACACAACCACACACACACACACACACACCACACACACACACACAACCACACACACACACACACAACCACACACACACACACACAACCACACACACACACACACACACACACACACACACACACCACACACACACACACACACACACACACACACACACACACACACACACACACACACACACACACACAACCACACACGCACACAACCACACACACACACAACCACACACACACACAACCACACACACACACAACCACACACACACACACACACACACACACACACACACACACACACACACACACACACACACACACACACACAACCACACACACGCACAGCCACACACGCACACAACCACACGCACGCACGCACGCATACACTTACACAATCACACACACAGGAAAGCTTCCTGTGCACGACGGCGGCCGCAGCGCCAGCGAGTGTGTGATTGGACTCGCCACGAACTTATATAAAGAGTTCTCCCCTTGCAGGTGGACGCCATCGAAACCCGAGTCAGCAAGGCGACCACAGGCACCACGCAGAGTGACTCATCCCCGCAGGCGAGCGGTCAGCAGCAGCAGCACGTTCAGCAGACGCCCCAACAGACACACGTTCAGCAACAGACACAGGCGCAGCAACAGCAGCAGCAACAGGCGAGTACTGTGCGCGGACGCCTAGGGCACGACCAGCACCAGCGACCGCCCCCGCAGTCATGCCAACCGAGCCTGGCCAGGAAAGCCAATGCGCAGGTAAGACCATCCACGTGCTCTGCCCTAGGGAGACCTGGGCCTTGTCCCGCCTGTGAACCCCTTGCGCCAGCCAGACACGCGTGTGAATGTCACAGGAAGCCCCCGGCAGCAGGTTATGGTGAGGCCTCGCTGTTGAGAGGGCCATGGAGATTGCAGGTTGATGGAGAGGGTGCCCCGTGTGAATGATGGTGGGGGTTGGGAGGGTGGCGGGCGTTGCGGGCATGGCGAGGTATCGTGTTGAAAGGCCAATGGGGAGGCAGGTTAATGGTGATCGGGTTCCCTGAATGTGAATGAGACTGAAGGATTGTGAGAGGGCAGGTTATGGCAGAGTTCTCGAAGCAAATGATAGTGAGGGCGATGGACAAAAAGACTTAGTGATATATGTCGGAGGCAAAATCCCGAGTTGACGAAGGCATGTTGCAGAGGCTATGTGTGTGTGTGTGTGTGTGTGTGTGTGTGTGTGTGTGTGTGTGTGTGTGTGTGTGTGTGTGTGTGTGTGTGTGCGTGCGTGCGTGCGTGCGTGTAAAGGTGGGGTCAGATATCATTTTGCTTGATCATGTCAGGTTTGACTTGAATATGGTATAGCATGGAAGGGCCGGGGCCTTCCATAACATTGAGGTCAAACGACCAGGTGTTATTTTGCAAACAAAATAAAATAAAATAAAATAGAAAATAAAAATAAAGGGGATAAAATTTGTTATTGACTGGTTTCTTGCCTTTCAAAACTTCTCAGAGATTACGAAGAAAATGTCTCGGCTTGGATTTAAGCCTGATTTGAGCCTAATAATGTCTTTGCTATATCCTTTAATACGTTGCATTGATAAATGAGATAAAGGAGTGTATTAATTGTGAGTGTTATGAATACAAAATAGAAATTAAAGAGGGACTGCACAAATCGGGTCGATGCAAGCTAGATGAAAAAAAATATATGTTTAAAAAGTTAAAAGCAGAAAAACGAAGCGGCCGTTCGCGCGTGAAGGAATTCTGTACTAGAGCGCCCATTCCTACCACACTGCTCACAGTTCATGTATGTGTGCTTACTTTTAGTGTACTGTAGAATGAACTGTAATTAATATGGGTGTACTACAGTGTGTACATTGCATATACAACGTATATGTGTACGAAACATAATGATGTAAGAAGTACAGAATCACATTCACATTAAGTTAATGTGAAGCTAATAATTTTATGTCAGTTTAAATAGAAGCATGCATCAAACTACTTAAACTTGACCTTATTAGTCAGTCGCCACATATCTTAGCATGTGGAGGATACATCGCGGACTCATTTTTGTTGCAAGGATTTTAAAAAAAATGTCAGCTGTATCACCGACAGATTGCAACGGCAAGAGACTTTTCTTCGTTCCCTTTACTTAATATTTACCGCCAGAACCTCAAGTTAAAAAGTGATCCCTTCATTATCTTCTTCACCAGTCGATGGCCACGGGACTATCGGTCAGGCACTGTCTCCTCTGGCGAACAGCCCCTCAGGGCATCCACAAATTTACGTTGCCCCGGCGAAATCGATTAACCCTGATTAGTAGTAGGGTCGAACACTTTGATGTGCGTGGTCCGTGTGCAGTTCATACCAGTTTTTCAGGGGCTCATCACCAAGTCGGATCTCGCCGGCGATGATCTGTTCTGCATTTTAACTTTTTTTTCTCTCTATGTGAATGATTTTCTCTCTCTGGAAGTGAAATCAGTTAGCACGACAAAAGTTTCGGTTGCGTATACAGATGTTTTTTTTTTCATTCTGTTGAATCAACACGGTAGAGTTTCTTGCCACTCACAGCGGCTTGTCTGCGTGTCTCCCTCGTGAGGAGGATGGCAGTCGAGGAGCAACCTTAACGAAGCTGTCGATGCCCGTCCTGCTTGATCTTGGTGCTGAGGGTATCGGGTTTCCTTCCACATGATTGCGAGACTGAGCCCGAAGAAGAGTCGCTCTCAAACGCGTACACACATATCTCCACACACAGCCACAGTCGCATAAGTACTTACACCTAAAAATACACATCCACTTACGTATGTGCACAGACGCAGCTGATAAGTACAATCATGTACAATGC